ATAAATATAAATATAAATATAAATATAAATATAAATATAAATATAAAAATCTATTTATCTAAAAGCGAAATACCACTCAGGCATCATCACAAAATCTCCAGAACTGTAAAGCCTACAAACTTGACATTTGGCACGTATGTTCCTCTTGGCTTCTAGGGGCTCACTAAGCAAGGATTTTTTGAAATGACCACCAGAGCATTAGCATTTCCTATATTATTAATATTAACACGCTCTGATGCTAAGTTCTACTCCCCCTCCCCACCTGAAAAGAAATCTGTTCCAAATGCAAAACACAAACAGAGGAGAGGAGTTCCAGTTTCAGTTTCGCAGCACCAAGCAGCTTTAGTACAGAACACTTGAGCTAAGCCACACCCAGGCTCCTTGCTGTCTCCTTCTTGCTCACACAGCAAATACTGTTTCAGTTTCCTTGTTTCAGTTTCCAAACAGCCCTCAACTCTCTCACACACTGACAGGACGCTAGCCAGATGAATACTGATGGATGCTGGTAGGCAGAGGCACAATTTTCCCCCCCTTATTTTCCTCCCTAAAAACTAAGCCCGATAACATAGTTTTGTAACGAAGCATGGGTATCGAGGTAATACACACACACACACACACACACACACACACACACACACAGCAATGGCTAGTTATATATTAATGTGTAAAAGCCAAAAGTTGAGGTTCGAGTGCATCTATCTTTTACTGTGCTAGGAAGAGTTGGAAGTCAATGCCCCCTTTTCTTCCTTTTTCTCTTCTCCCTTGTATCTCACACCCCCTTTTCCCAGTTCCCTTTAATTAATTTCCTATTTTGTTCTCTGTATTTGAAATAATAATAAAAAAAATATAAGAGAGAGAAAACAGGACTGAAAAAAGTGACATAAACTGGTCCTCATACTCACAACTCTCATGTCATGGGACCAAAATTTGAGCACTTGGAAACTAGAATGTATTTACGACAGTCGTATCAAACTGGGATCACATGATTGCAGTTTATGATCTTCCCAACTGGCTCCCATTAAGCAAAGTCAGTGGGAGAAACTGGATTCATGGGACAACCACGAGATTCACTTAACAGCTTCAAAAATTCACTTAACAACCATCTCAACTCATAAAATATTTCTATGGTCTTTTAGAGTTGCCAAGAGAAAGGGAGGGGGGAGCAGTGCAGGAGCTTGCAAACCGAAACTGCATTCCATAAATGTTCTCAAAGATAGTAACTAAGTGACTGAAGTTTCTGCCTTGCAAACATCTAACTGGAGAGCATGATTGATGACTCTTGGCTATGGATGTGTCCCATTGGAGAATATGAATTACGAAACACCCAGAGGGGCTGGGGGAAAACCAGGGTCAAGGGTGACAATGAATGATGTGCCTCAGAGTCGGCTACACCCAGGCAGTGCCGGACTTTTTAACTCCCAATAAATCCTTTTGAAGTTTTGGAAGTTTGGCTCGAGACTCATGATTTAATTGGGGAATCCTTACTGCCGGAATCTTGACCAACCATGGCAAGAAAGGTCATAAAATCAGGCACAAGCCTTCTTGCTTAGCAACAGAATTTCTGATCCTAATTGTAGTTGTAAGTCAAGGACTACCTACAATAAAGAGCCAAATCCCCAGCCAAGCAGGAGGCTGAGTGAGTGTTATAGATCAGGGATCCCCAACCTTTTCGACGCCGCGGCCCGGTTCCGACATCAGCTGGGCGCCGCGGCCCGGTACCAGCGTCAACTGGGCGCCGCCATCTTTTTATGACGAAAAGGCGCTTCCGGTGAGCTTTCTACCCGGAAAAGCTCACCAGAAGCGCTTTTTTACCAAAAAAAAGATGGCGGTGCCCAGCAACCAGCGGCCCGGTAAGGCTTGTTCCGCGGCCCGGTACCGGTCCGCGGACCGGCGGTTGGGGACCCCTGTTATAGATCACTTAAGTCAATGCACAGTTGGATAATTTATACTCTTTTTGCTATGAGAACCTTACTACAGTCTTAGTATGTTGTCAACACATGAATTGCATTTTTGTGTAATCCTCATTTACAATTCCGTTAGTTATGTGAACCCAAGACAGTTGGGGAAAAAACCCAGGATGTTATAGTTTTATAAACATAGAACAAAAAAATTTGCATACTTGCAGACATGCATGCAGTAAACCTGATTCCAAATAGGACCTACACATTTGATAACACAAACATTGTAATGTTTCAGCGCAACCAAGGTGGAAATATGCATGCAACACAGAGAGTCTGCCAATAAACACAGGCATAGAATCAAAATCACATGAAGTATTAGTACCACTTTATAAAACCTTAGTAAAACCACACCTGGAATACTGCAAACAAGTTTTGGTGACCACAGTACAAAAAAGGATGTTGAGACTTTGGGAAAAGTGCAAAGAGCAACTAAGATGATTAAAGGCCTGGAGGCTAAAACACATGAAGAACGGTGGCAGGATTTGGGTTTGGCTAGTCTAGAGAAAAGAAGGACTAAGGGGGACATGATAGATAGCAGTATTCCAGTATTTGGGGGGCTGCCACAAAGAAGAGGGGGGGGGGGTCAACCTATTTTCCAAAGCACCAAAAGGCAGGACAAGAAACAATGGTTGGAAACCAATCAAGGAGAGAAGCAACTTGGAATTAGGGACAAACTTCCTAAGAGTGAGGACGATTAACCAGTGAAACAACTTGTCTCCAGAAATTGTGGGTGCTCCATCACTGGAGGTTTTTAAAGAAGAGACTGGACAGTCACTTGTCTGAAATGGTAGAGAAGGTCTTCTGAGTGAGCAAGGGGCTGGACTAGAAGACCTCCAAGGTCCCTTCCAGCTCTATTCTGAATTTGAATGTGGCTGGGGGAATTCTAGGAGTTGAAGTCCACATGTCTTAAAGTTGCTGGGAACCGCTTGCTCTAGATTATGCTGGAACTACGCTAGAAGCAACCTGGAATTGAGGAGAAACTTGCTAACAGGGAGGACAATTAACCAGTGAAATAGCTGGCCTCCAGAAATTGTGGGTGCTTCATCACTGGAAGTTTTAAAGAAGTAACTGGACAGCCATTTGTCTGAAATGGTAGAGAAGGTCTTCTGACTGAGCAAGGGGCTGGATTGGAAGACCTCCAAGGTCCCTTCCAACTCTTTTCTATTATGAATGAGATTTGTTCCACTCCGCAAAAGAACCAGCAATTTATACCTCCCGATGCGCAAACGGAAAGCAGAAATGCTTTGCAATAAACATGGTTTCCCCATTTTACCCTTCGGAAGAACAGCTGACACTCATTCTAACAGTCACTGACAATCTGAAATGAAGGGTTGGTTTGAAAGCAAGGAACCTTGCCATAATCTCTCCTCATAATGAATTATCTCATGCAAGCAGAAGGAAACGCAAACCCTCTGAGAAGTATAACTGGCCCAGATGATGAAATATCTATCCTTGTTTATCCCTTCCACGTTCCCCCATTCCTTCCCCCATGACCCACAATTTCACATTTGCATTACAGTGGAAGATGCAGCATTTCCCTTCTGTACAGTCTTG